GTCCGTCGGTCGTCGTCCGATCGTCCGTCGTCCGTTATCGTCCTCAGACGTCCGTCGCCCGTCGTCGTCGTCGTCGTCGGTCGATCGTCTGCGCCCGTCGTCGTCGTCATCGTTCGTCGTCCGTCGTCGTCGTCGCCCGTCGTCGTCGTCCTCGTCGTCGTCGTCGTCATCGTCGCCGTCGTCTTCGTCCGTCGTCGTCGTCGTCGTTGTCGTCGGTCGTCGTCGGTCGTTGTCGATCGTCGTTTGTCGTCGGTCGTGGGTCGTCTGCCGTCGTCTGTCGTCGGTCGTGGGTCGTCTGTCGTCGGTCGTCTGTCGTCGGTCGTCCGCCGACCGTCCGTCGCGCGTCGTCGTCGTTGTCGTCGTCGGTCGAACATCGGCGTCCGTCGTCGTCGTTGTCGTCGGTGGTCCGTCGTCGTCGTCGTCGTCCGTCGTCGTCATCAACGTCGTCGTCGTCGTCGTTGTCGGTCGTCGTCGGTCGTCGTCGGTCGCCGTCGTCATCGTCGTTCGTCGGTCGTGGGTCATCTGTCGTCCTCTCTCGTCGATCGTGGGTCGTCTGTCGTCCGTCGTCTGTCGTCGGTCGTCCGGCGTCGGTCGTCTGTCGTCATCGTCGAGGTCGTCGTCGCCACCGCCGTCGATGTCGTCGCCGTCGTCCGTCATCAGTCGTCCGTCGCCGTCGTCAGTTGACCGTAACCCGTCGTCAACGTCGTCGGTCGGTCATCTGCGTCCGTCCTCGTCGTCGTCGTCGGTCGTCCGTCGTCGTCGTGTCGTCGTCGTCGCCGTCGTCGTCCGTCGACGTGGTCGTCGGCCGTCGTCCATCGTTGTCGGCGTCCGTCGTCGTCGTCATCGTCATCGTCGTCACCGTCATCCATCGTCGTCGTCGTCGTCTTGGGTCATCGTCGGTCGTCGTCGGTCGTCGTCGGTCGCCGTCGGTCGTCGTTGTTCGTCAGTCGTGGGTCGTTGGTCATCGTCGGTCAACGGTCGTCGTCCGTCGTCGGTCGTCCACCATTTGTCTTCCGTCGTCGTCATGTCGTCAACGTCGTCAATCGGTCATCGACGTCCGTGGTGGTCGTCGTCATCGTCGTGCGTCCGTCGTCCGTCGTCCTCGGCGGTCGTCGGACATCAGTCGCCCGTTGTCGTCAAGATCGTCCGTCGATCGTCGCCGTCCGTTGTTTGCATCGTCGTCGTCGTCGTCGGTCGTCCGTCGTCGTCGTCGTCGTCCGTCGTTGTCGTCGTCGTAATGGTCGCCGTCGTCGTCCGTTGTCGTCATCGTCGCCTTCGTCGGTCGTCGTCGTTCGTCGTCGGTCTGTTGTCGTGGGTCGTCTGTCATCGTCTGTCGTCGTCTGTCGTCGGTCGTGGGTCGTCTGTCATCGGTCGTCGTCGTCGGTCATCCACTGTCGGTCGTCCGTCGTCGTCGTAGTCGTCGCCGCACCCACGGTTGTCGTCGTCGTGTTCCGTGGTCCGTCGTGCGTCGTCCGTCGTCGTCGTCAGTCGTCCGTCGCCCGTCGTCGTCGTCGTCCGTCGTCGGCGTCCGTCGTCGTCGTCGTCGGTCGTCGGTCGTCGTCGTCGTCGGTCGTCTGTCGTCGTCGTCGCCGCCGTCGTCGTCCGCTGTCCGTCATCGTCGTCGTCGTCGCCGTCGCCGTTGTCCTCGTCGTCGTCGGTCGTCGTCGGTCGTCCGTCGGTCGTCCGTCGGTCGTCGTCGGTCGTCGGTCGTGGGTCGTGGGTGGTCGGTCGTGTGTCGAGCGTCGGCCGCCGTCGGTCGTCCGTCGTCGTCGTCGTCGTCGTCGCCGCCGCCGTCGTCGTGATCCTCGTCGTCGTCCGTCTTCATCCGTCGTCGTCGTCGTCGCCGTCGTCGTCCTCGTCGTCGTCGTCGGTCGTCGTCGGTCGTCGTCGACCGTCGTCGGTCGTAGTCGGACGTCGGCCATGGGTGGTGTGTCATCGTCGGTCGTCGGTCGTGCGACGTCCGTCGGTCGGTAGTCGTCCTTCGTCATCACCGCCGTCGTCGTCATAATCACCGCCGTCGTCGTCCTCGTCAATGGTCCATCCTTAGTCGTCCGTCGTCGTGGTCAGTCGTCCGTCGCCCGTCGCCGTCGTCGTCGGTCGAGCGTCGGCGTCCGTCGTCGTCGTCGGTCGTCCGTCGTCATTGTCCTCGTCGTCCGTCGTCGTCGTCGTCGTCGTCATCGGCGTCATGGTCGCCGTCGTCGTCCATCGTCGTCGTCGTCGTCATCGTCGGTCGTCGTCGGTCTCGTCGGTCGTCGACGGTCGTCATCGGTCGTCAAGCGTGGGTCGTCTGTTGTCGATCGTCTGTCATCAACCGCCCGCCGTCAATAGTCCGTCGTCGTCGTCGCCGGTCATCGCCGTCGTCGTCGTCGCCGTCCGTCGTCGGTGGTCAGTCGTCCGTCGTCGCCTTCGTCGTCCGTCGCCCGTCGTCGTCGTCGGTGTCAGTCGACAGTCGGCGTCCGTCGTCGTCGTCGTCGTTGGTCGTCCGTCGTCGCCCTCGTCGTCCGTCGTCGTCGACGTCGTCGGTCGTCGTCGGTCGTCGTCGGTGGTCTATCGTGGGTCGTCTGTCGTCGTCGTCGTCGTCGTCGCCGTCGTCGTCGTCATCGGTCGTCGGTCGCCGTCCTCGTCGTCAACTACCCGTCGCGCGACATCGTCGTCAGTCGATCGTCGTCGTCCGTCGACCGTCGTCGTCGTCGTCGGTCGTCCGTCGTCGTCGTCATCGTCCGTCGTCGTCGTCGTCGTCATCATCGTCGTCGTCGTCCGCCGCCGTCGTCGTCGTCGTCGTCGTCGGTCGTCGTCCGTCATCCGTCGTCGTCGTGGGTTTTCGTCGGTGGTCTGTCGTGGGTCGTCTGCCGTCGTCGGTCGTCGCCGTTGTAGGTCGTCTGTCGTCGGTCGTCTGTCGTCGGTCGTGCGTCGTCGGTCGTCCGTCGTCGTCGTCGTCGTCGCCGCCGATGTGGCCGTCGTCGTCGTCCGTCGTCCGTCGTCCGTCGACCGTCGTCGTCAGTCGTCCGTCGCCCGTCGTCGTCGTCGGTCGATCGTCGGCGTCCGTCGTCGTCGTCATCGTCGTCATTCGTCCGTCGTTTTGTCGTCCGTCATCCGTCGTCCGTCGGTCGTCGTCATCGTCGCCGTCGTCGTGCGTCTCCGTCATCGTCGTCGTCGTCGTCGTCGGTCGTCGTCCATCGTCGTTGTCAGTCGTCGTCATCTGTCGATCGTCGGCGTCCGTCGTCGTCGTCGTCGGTCGTTGTCGTTGTCCGTCGTCTTCGTCGTCGTCGTCGCCGTCTTCGTCCGTCCTCGTCGTCGCCGTCGTCGTCGGTCGTCGTCGGTCGTCGTCGGTCGTCGGTCGTGGGTCGTCGGTCGTTGCCGATCGTCGGTCGTGGGTCGTCTGTCGTGGGTCGTCTGTCGTCGATCGATCGCCGTCGTCGTCCGTCGTCGTCGTGGTCGTCGTCGTCGCCGCCGTCGTCGTCGTCGTCCTCGTCGTCGTCGTCGTCGTTGTCATCGTTGTCGTCGTCCTCGTCGTCCTCGCCGTCGTCAGTCGTCCGTCGTCCGTCGTCGGTCATCCGCCGTCGGTCGTCCGTCGTCCGTCGTCCGTCGTCCGTATTCCGTCCTCAATCGTTGGTCGTCGCTCGACGCTCATTGCTCGTCGTCGTCGGTGATACTACAACCGTCGACAGAATAAACTCAAAAACGCCTTGAGCCCCCTCCAATGTCGGCCCCTCCAATGTCGAAGAACGCCGACGCATGCTCTGGGGGGGTGCGACTCGGCAGTTCCATGCTGACCGATACTGGAGGGGGGGCGCCAACAAATACTTCGCACTCATTGACATCCAATCCCAGGCAATCACATGCGCAAGTACCGTACATTCTTTGTCTGGCGACTTGCGCGCTGGCCACTGGCACCGCGTGGATCCTTCAACTGTGGACGGTAACCGCTCTTCGAGAATCCAGATTTTGCACATCGTCCGACTCCGGACCGCTGGCGTTTCCCAACCTTGAACGCCCGCGCTGGGGTCGCTGCCGCATCGACGCGACGCGAATCTACCGTAAGATACGTGACGCATTTTTGAATTTACTTGTGTCGAGGGTTGTAGTAGGGTGCTGCGCACTCCTGGGTGACAGGCATCGCCTCCCTCACACCCGAACTCCTCCCCCCAGTATTCCCCTGGCACCCGCCATCATCCTCCTACTTCTCCTCCTCCTCGTCCTCCTCCTCCTCCTCATCCTCCTCCTTCTCCCCCTCCTCCCCCTCCTCCCCCTCCTCCACCTCCTCCTCCTCCTCCTCATCTTCCTCCTCCTCCTCCTACCCTCCTCATCCTCCTCCTCCTCCTCCTCCTCCTCCTCCTCCTCCTCCTCCTCCTCCTCCTCCTCCTCCTCCTCGGCCTGGCACCCTCGCCCATTAGGGAGCGCGCGCGGGTCCTGCCGAGCGCGTTCGTTGCACCTGAGGAGCGCGTCGCGGAGCGCCTCCCTGGGGTTCTCGGGCCAACACGCGCTCGACCATACGAGCTCCGGGAACTCGCGCTGCGGGGGGGGGGGCGCTCTTTTGTAGAGGAGTGTGATGATCATGGCCATGATGATGATGATGATGATGATGATGATGATGATGATAATGATGATGATGATGATGATGATGATGATGATGATGATGATAATGATGATGCTGATGCTGATGCTGATGCTGATGCTGATGATGATGACGGCGATGATGATGATGATGATGATGATGAGAAAGATGATGATAATGATGATGATAACGATGATGATGATGATGAGGAGGAGGAGGAGGATAATGATGATGGTGATGATAATGATGACGATGATGATGATGATGATGACGGTGATGATGATGATGATAAGTATGATAATGACGATGATGATGATGATGGTGATGATGCTGATCATGATGCTGATGATGATAGTGATGTTGATGGTGCTGACGATAGGTATGGTGGTGATGATGATGGTGATGATGGTGATGATGATGATGTTGATGATGATGGTGGTGGTGGTGACGATGATGATGGTGATGGTGATGGTGATGGTGACGATGATTGTGATTATGATGGTGACGATGATGATGATGATGATGATAATGAAGATGATGATGATGAAAACGATAATGGTGAGGATGGTGATGATGGTGACGGTGATGGTGATGATGTTGGTGCAGGTGGTGATGATGATGGTGATAGTGATGATGATGATGATGATGATGTTGTTGATGATGACGACGGTGATGGTAGTGGTGATGGTGATGGCGACAAGAACCCACCCTCGGAGAATAAACAAAAACAGTGGTTTATGTTAGGGGGGGCGGACACAGGGGGGGCGAGGTTTGGGGGAGGGGTCCTGGGGCGCCAGAATAGGAAACAAAATTATAATCAAAAAAACCCTTGGAACCCCCCTACCCTTTCAGGGGGTGTTGACCCCCAAGCCCCCCTTGGAAACCCCCCCCTAAAGGGTGGTTTTTGCTGATTAGGGAGGGCTGGTGGGCTTTCCCCCCCAGAACCCCCCTCAAGGGGAGATTTTGGAGGGGTGGTGGGTTTCCCCCCGAGAGCCCCCCTCAAGGCGGGTTGTTGAGAGTGCTCTAAAAGGTTGGTGGGTTTCCCCCCAGAAACCCCCCTCAAGGGGGGTTGTTAGGAGGGGTTAGGGGGGGGCTGGTGGGTACCCCCCCAGGAATCTCCCCCCAAGAAATTGTTGAGGGGTTCGGGGGGGGGGGGGCCCTGAAACCTCTCCCTCAAGGAAAATGATTTGGGGGGAAGTGGAGGCGAGGGTCCCCCGGAAACCCCCCCTCAAGGCGGGTTCTTAAGGGGGGTTAGGAGGGGTTAGTGGGTTTTCCCTCCCGGCCCTCCCCCTCAAGGAAAGTTTTTAAGCGGGTTTGGAAGGGTGTGGTGGGTTTTTCCCCTTCCGAAACCCCCTCTCAAGCGGAAGATTTGGGGGAATCCTTCAAAGAGCTTGGGGGGCGGGGTCCCCCCAGAGACCAACCTCTCCCTCAAGAAAGGTTTTTGGAGTAGGGGGCGGGTCCCCCCGGAAACCCCCCCTGAATGGAGATTTTTGCAGGTGGGGGGGCCCCCGCGGAAACCCCCACTCAAGGGCGGTTGTCGGGGGAATAAAATAGGGGGGAGAGTTTTCCCTCCAGAAGCCCCTCCTCAAGGGAATTCTTTAGAGGGGTTAGGGAGGTCGGGACCCCCCCTCAAGGTACATGTTTGGAAAGGTTCAGAAGGGTTGGTCGGTTCCCCCCTGGCAACCACCCGCGAGAGGGTTTTTGGAAGGGGTTAGGGGGAAGTTACCCAAGGAACCCCCCTCGACGGATGTTTTTGTTGGAGGTTAGGGGGGGTTGGCGGGCTTTCCCCCAGGACCCCCCTCAAGAAGGTTTTGGGGGGGCTAGGGAGGGTTAGGATTTTCCTACGCAGCGGGATGCTGCTGCATACTGAAATTCGTGTTGGAGACGGCAGCTGTTGAGTACCGTGTGTTGTGTTGGAAACGCATGCTGTTGAGTACTGGGTGGTATGTTGATCACAGAAAAACGGCGGGCGGGCGGCGGGCGGCGGGCGGACAGCGGCCGGGCCCATTAGAATTTAAAAGTTCGGCGAATTCTCTCTTGCAGCGAGATGCTGTTGAGTACTGAGTGCTGTGTTGGAGACGGAAGCTGTTGAGCACTGGGTGTTGTGTTGAACACGGAAGCACGGAGGGCGAACGGCGGGCGGCGGCCGGCGGGCGGGCGGCGGGCGGGCGGATCGGGACGTCAGCCGAACTCCTAAGGATTCTCTACTGCGGCGGGATGCTGTTTGATACAGGGTGTGTTGTTGGAGACGGAGGCTGTGGAGTACCATGTGTTGTGTTGGAGACGGAAGCTTTTCAGTAATGGGTGTTACGTTTAAAAACGAAAGCACGGCAGGTTGGCGGAGGGCGGGCGCATCGGGCCTTTTGAAAGAACTTTGAAGGATTCTCTCTTGCTGCGGGATGCTGTTAAGGACTGCATGTTGTGTTGGAGACGCAGGCTGTTGAGTACTGGGTGTTGTGTTGCAGACGAGTGATGTTGAGTACTGAGTGCTGCGTCGACCGCGGAACCACGGCGGACGGGCGGATGGCAGGCGGCGGGCGGGCAGCTCGGGATTTTGATATGGAATTTCTGATGATCTTTGATAGTGGGTGCTGTGCTGGAAACCTGTGGAGTACTGGGTGCTGTGCTGAACACGGAAGCACGGCGGGCGGGCGGCCGCATCATTATTTGAATCGAAGTCCTGCGATTTCTCTCTTGAAGCGGGATGCTTTTGAGTACCAGGTGTTGCCTTGGAGACGCATGCTGTTGAGTACTGGGTGTTGTGTTGAATACGGAACCACGGCTGGCAGGCGTCCTGCGGCGGGCGTCGGGTCGGCGGCGGGCGGGCGGATCGGGGTTTTAATAGACCTTACGAAGATTATTTCTTGCAGCGGGAAGCTGCTGAAAACCATGTTTTGTGTTGGAGACGGCTGCTGTTCAGTGCCAGGTGTTGTGATGAACACGAAAGCACGGCAAGCACGGCGGGAGGGCGTCCTGCGGCGGGCGGCGGGCGGATGAAACTCCTAAGGATTCTCACTCGCAGCGGGATGCTGTCGAGTACCGGGTGTTGTGTTGGAGACGGATGCGGGTGAGCACTGGGTGTTGCGTTGTACGAGCAAACATGTTGAGCGGGCGACGGGCGGACGGCGGGGGGCGGGCTGCGGGCGGGCGGATCGGAATTGTAATAGAAGCCCTCAGATTTCTCCCGTGCAGCGGGATGCTGTTGAGTACTGGGTGTTGTGTTGCGAGTACTGGGTGTTGTGCTGGGGACGGATGATACTGAGTACTGGGTGTCGTGTTGAGCGCGGAAGCACGGCGGGCGGGCGGCGAGGGGCGGGCGGCGGGCCGACGGCGGGCAGGCGGATCGAGATCTGAATCGAGCTTATAAGGGTTCACTCTTGCAGCGGGATGCTGTTGAGTACTGAGTGTTGTGTTGAGGACTCAGGCTGTTGAGCACTGGGTGCTGCATTGGAGACGGAGACTGGTGAGTACTGGGTATTGTGTTGAACACAAGGGCACGGCGAGCAGGCGGCGGGCGGCGTGCAGCGGGCTGGCGGCAGGCGGGAGGATCGGGATTTAAATAGAGCTTCCAAGGATATCTCTTGCAGCGGGATGCTGTTGAGTACTGAGGGATGTGTTGGCTATGGAGGCTGTTGAGAACAGGGTGTTGGAGACGGAGACTGTTGAGTACAGGGTGTTGTGCTGAACACGGAGGCATGGCGGACGAGCGGTGCGCGGCGGACCGGCGGCGGGCGGGCGGATCGGGATTTCAAGAGACCTCCTAAGGATTCTCTCTTGCACGGGATGCTGTTGAATACTGAATATTGTTGGAGACGAAGGCTGTTGAGTGCTGAGTGTTGTGTTCGAGACGGAGGCTGTCGAGTACCGGATGTTGTGTTGGAGACGGAATCGCGGCGGGCGGGCGGCGGCCGGCGGGCGGCGGGCGGCGGGCCGGCGGCGGGTCGGCTGATCGGGGTTTTCATGGAACTTGCAAAGATGCAGTTATTGCAGCGGGATGCTGTGGAATACTGAGTTTTGCGTTGGAGATGGAGGCTGGTGAGTACTGGGTGCTGTGCTGGAGACGGATGGTGCTGAGTACTGGCTGCTGTGTTGAACGCGGACACACGGGGGGGGGGTCGGCGGGGGGCGAGCGGGCGGGCGGCGGGCGGGCGGCGGGCGGCGGGGGGGGGGGGGCGGGCGGGCGGGCGGCGGGCGGGCGGACGGCGGGCGGCGGGCGGGGGGATCGGGATTTCAATAGAACTCCTAAGGGCTCTCTCGTGCAGCGGGATGCTGTTGAAGACTGGGTGTTCGGTTGGAGACGGAGGCGGTTGAGTGCCCGGTTTTGTGCTGGAGACGGATGCTGCTCAGGCGAAAGCGCGGCGGGCGGGCGGCGGGGGCGGCGGGCCGGAACGGCGGGCGGGCGGATCGGGACTTTGCGAGTAGAGCTCCTGAGGATTCTCACTCTTGCAGCGGGACGCTGCTGAGTACTGAGGGCTGTGTTGGATACGGAGGCCGTCGAATACTGGGTATTGTGTTGGAGGCGGATGCTGTTGAGTACTGGGTGTTGCATTGAGAACGGAAGCACGGCGGGCGGGCGGCCCTGTTGCAAGGGGGGTTCACGGCACACGAGTACGGCACGGCAGGGCACGGCGTGTGGGCGGCAATTTTGTCGCCTTCAGGGGGCGGCACCGCAAGGCACGGCACGCGGGCACGGCACGGCTCCCCCTCGAGAGGGGGGTTTTTAGGGGTTCTAGGGGGTGGTGGCGGGTTTCCCCCCTCAAGACGCCCCCTTGAAGGGGGGGTTCTTGGGGAGGTTAGCGGGGGGGGGGGTCCCCAGAATGTGACAGAAAGAACCGCTCGCGTGCCGTGCCCTGCCGTGTCGCGCTCGTGTCCCGTGCCGCACCGTGTCGTGTCGAGCGTCTGGAATGTGAGAAAACTGCCGCCCGCGTGTCGTACCGGGCCGTGTCGTGCCCGCGTGCCGTGTCGTGCCATCCCGCGTGCCGTGCTGTGCCGCGCCTACTTTCTGGAATTCGAGAAAGGTGCCTCTCCGTGACGTGCCGTGCCGTGGCTTGTTTCTGAAATGCGACAAAATGGCCGCCCGAGTGCCGTGCCATGCCGTGCCATGCCGTGCTGTGCCGTGCCGTGCTCGTGCGCGGTACTGTGCCTAGTTTCTGGTATGTGGAGCAGTTGTGCCGTGCCGTGCCCTGCCGTGCCGTGCCGTGCCGTGCCTGATGGTCAGAATGCGAACAAGTTACCGTGCTGTTGCCGCCCGTGTGTCTTCCTGTGCAGCGTTGCTGTTTCGGGTCTCCATGCTGGTGTAGTGGAAGCTAGCTCGCAAGGCCCGGTCTTACCCCCGGTGCCTTGGGGGTCAGACTTGGAGGTCCAGCCGATCTGGCCCCAGCGGAGGAGGAGGGGGAGGAACGGCGAGGAAGAAGGGGAGGAGAAGAGCGAGGCTGGCAAGCATCGGCGCAGAAGGGACCAAAGCAGAAGAGCAGGAGCCCGAGGCAAGACTGCGGGGCGGCAGCTGCCGTGGAGATGAGGCGAGGCGGCGGCGTCAGTGGCACGCGCGGGCGCGGGCGCGGCGGCAGTGGATAAACGTCGGGAGGTCACGGCGCTCTCGAGGGCCCACCGCCACCTAGCGATGAGCACGTGAAGGAATCACTGTGGCTCGGGAATGGTCTGGAGCGGCGTTGACGGTTGAGCCGGTGTGCAGAAGCGGTTTGAGACATGGGACTCTGCACCCGAAAGTCTTGACCACCACTTCGTAATCCCAGACGGTGGTTAGCGGGGCGGGGGAGGGGCCTGCGCGGACCGTCTGCAAAGCCCGCCGACGGCCAGCCATCATGCAGATCAAGCCTGGACAGGCAGCCTGTAAATGACTGCGCAGGCAGACAGCAGCCACTACCAGCGCACCGACCGTCAAGTGGCGGGCTCCCGAAACCCCAGATCCAAGAAGAAGCTGACACCTCTCGGAAGGGCAACTTGTGTTTCCGCCGGCCTCCGCTGGCCTTCCGCCGCCTTCCGCCAGCTTCCGCCGAGGGCGAGACGCGAAGAAGGCGAGGCCCTCGGCCACGTCGTGCGCTTTCCTGCCTCGGCCGCCATTGCGTAGCACACTTTGCCATCTGATCCTCCATCTGTTGCGCGCTCGGCCGACGAGTCTTAAAGCGTCCTGCGAGTGGCTGCGCCACGGGTTTCGCACTGGACTGCCGAAGCTATACTATCCGAGGCCGAGTATTAAAATGTTCTGCAAGTGAATGCGCCATGGGTTTCGCCTTGGGCCACCGTTGATTGCGTGATAGCCGACCCCTAGCCAAAAAAACAGGGTTGCCCATGTTGGACACAAACTGACAACTCTCTATCGCCGTATGGGTAATGATGAGCCACGCGTACATCTCAAGGTAAAAAAATACGGGGCCTCGGAAGCGGCATGCCACCCCTGTGTGGCCGCTGCGACCGCCGCGGCGACCTGCAAAACCGACCCGCAACGAGCTGCTGCGCAGACCGCTCCGCAACACGCAACGCGCCAAGCCGCTGCAGGGCCGCACCTGAGAGCTTCGGCCCTCCCCGACACCGAACAGAAAGCAGGCACGGACGTCCCAGCGGCGAAGGGAAAGGGTCTCACGCGAGGCGCCATGGCGACCTGACGCGGTGGCTCACGCGGGCTGCCAGCGCGGCACTCCACAGCGGAGGCGAGGACGCTCACGTGCGAGTTCACGCGGGCAGCTTCCGCACCGATGCGCGTCCCCGACGCGCGCCGCGTCTGTGCGTCCTTCACGCGCTGCTCTCGGCGCCTGGCCTCGGAGGGGCGGCCCGCCTCCGAGGGGGCTCTGGCCCAGGGCGCGCCCCCCAGCCGCCGGCCGGAAATGGGACAAGGTGCAAGCCACTGGACCCGATTCCAACCACCCTGATACAAACTGCAGCCCCATTGGGACTAACTCCAACCCACGTTCGGATGAGTCCCAACCAACCGTTATGAGAAGCCCCACGGGGCGTCCTTGAGGCGTCGTACGGGCGTCTTGGAGGCGCCGTACGGGCGTCTTAGAGGCGTCGCACACGCGTCTTAGAGGCGTCGTACGGGCGTCTTAGAGGCGTCGTACGGGCGTCTTGAAGGCGTCGCACGGGCGTCTTAGAGGCGCCCTAGCGGCGTCGCCCGGGCGCCTTAGAGGCGTCGGACGGGCGTCTTAGACACGCTTTGCACGCGTCCTGGGGGCGTCTTACAGGCGTCGCACGGGTGTCTTAGAAGCGCCTCTAAGACGTCTCTGAGAGGCGCCTTAGAAACGTCTCCATCGTGCGTCCTTGAGGGACTTCTCTGACAGGCATCTCTGAGATCCGTCTCTTGGAGGCGTCATGCGTGGCTTATCTGAGAGGCGTCTTAGAGGCGTATTCTGGGCGACTCTGAGAGGCATCTCTGAGAGGCGTCTGAGGCAGTTCTGCGAGACACCTATGCGTGGGATGATGACGGTGATGATGGTGATGATGATGATGATGCTGATAATGAATGTGGTGGTGGTGATGGTGATGATGACTATGATGATGGTGATGGCGATGATGATGATGACAATGATGGTGATGGTGATGGTAGCGACAACGACGACGATGATGCTGATGATGGTGATGATGATGACGATTATGGTGATGGTGATGGTGATGGTGATGATGATGATGATGATGATGATGATGATGATGGTGGTGATGATGCTGATGATGATGGCAATGATGAACGCGTGAGCCCTGAAACCCTTTATCATTTAGTCCGTCAACCCTTAACCTTTGAACCCTTTAACACATTAACCAGTTAACTCTTTAATCCTTCAACCAAGTAGCCCTTCAGATATTCACCCTTAAGCCCTGAAGCCTCAAGCCCTTAAGCCTTTAGACCTCGCTCTTTCCGTTACCTTACCCCTTACCATTTAACTCTTTCAACCCTTGAGCCCCTAAACCATGCTACCCTGTAAGGCCTGAAACT